GACGATCCATGTTGGCGTTTAAGGCGGCCTGATTGCGCCGGTAATTAGGTTTCGAGAAATGCGTTGTGTTAGTTGGAGAATTTTGCATTTGATTCCTCTTATGACGATGCATATTGGCGTTTAAGGCGGCCTTTTCTTTCAGGAGATGGTCGAATGAGGTCAGGGAGTCTTGGACGACTGGTTTATTGGGATTTCTGTATTTCGTAAGAGAGTCATTAACAACTGGCCCTCGGGTATTATATTGTTTCTCATTGTCTGTCGCAGATGGTAAATTATTCATATTAGTGTTTACGTTAACTTCAGATTCTTCTATATCAATTAGTACGACAGAGTCATTGTCAGTGATGGTTGGTTGATTATTCATATTATCGATAGCGATGCTAATATAATTGTCGATTTTGACAATTCCATGCCGTGCAGCGTTTCCTTGAGTAATTTAATTTCTTGTTTCAATAGCTGATTTTCGCTTCGTAGCCGATTGCATTCACATGTAGCGGGAACTTCAGCAGTATTAACTTTTAGGAATAATAATGCCAAGTCCAATTTAATTTCTGCTACTTCTACAGATAATTTACTACAGTCTTTGCAATTCATTATATAATCGCCTTCGTTCTGCTTGTGTGAACACATTTCTTGCTCATTTGCTTTTCCTTCGCTAGCATCCGAGTCGTTTCGGTTGATAGTTGTTGTGGTATTACTAGATCTATCAAACATGTTCGAGTTAGAATTGTTAATACTGAGACTACACTGGTTATCGATAGATTCATTCCGTCTTTCGGAAACAGCAGGGGTACTAGCAATGTTTAGCTCGGCATCTTTCACTATTGCAATTCGCGATGCATCGATATTTTTCTTCAAAGAGTCAGCCACTTCGCTGCCACGAGGACCTTGAAATAAGACAGTTTTGCTTTTACAATACCAGGTTATAGACAAAGCATCGCTAGTAAATAACCAGCGTCCACCTGACGGTGATTTTTTTATTTTCCATTTACCATTTATGTTTAACTTTTCTGCGACGTAGGACTTTAATTCGCTTAAGTCGCCATTCCAGATGAGTTTGTTCTTTTGTAATTCAAAGCAATTGCTCATTTTAGGTCAATGTATTATCCGTTAGAAGTGATTTTGAACTGTCTATATCGCGACCAATATCAGATGCCAAAGGAAACGTTTAAAAGAAAACTTTTATGAAGGAGCAACTGAAATATGTGCTTAAACCAGCATTATATATTCCGATATATATATATATATATATATATATATATATATATATATATATATATATATATATATATATATATATATATATATATATATATATATATATAAAGCGTAGCACAAACGCCCAGATTCAACCAGAAGTAAAATCTTCTTGTCTTGCCAAACCTGAAGTTCAGGCCCTAATTTGAAATAGGGCTTGACACAAAACCTGTCTAGACCGTGGGACGCCCACATGTTATTTTTAGACACACATGCAATATGATTGACAAGTGTTGTAGATTTCGTTACACAAAAAAATTATATTCTCATGAACATGTCCGCAGAGTGTGCATTTTGCTTTATAATTAAACTTAAAAATTCAAGGTACTTTTATATAAATAAGATTCAGACAAAGATTTAATTAGTCAGTTCTGTGCACGGCTAGACTGCCAAGCTTTCTCAAGGTCTCAACTTGCTGGACGCGGATATTAGGGATATACTTTATTATTAAAACGGGCTAACAACAGCAACAATGAAATTCTCAATCGTACCACGAAGAAGGCGATGTAGCTCAGAAACCAACGCCGGTAGGACCTGATATTAAAAATAAGACTTTTGCCGGCGAAGCCAGTTGGCAAAACATCTTGGCTGTCAACAACAAGCTTTCGAATACATGACTAGTTTGGCTGTTCTTTCGGCGTCGTGTGTCCAAAATTCGTCCAAGATTTTGATAAAGCCCTTTCAAAATACTGTTTGTTTGATTTATTTTCTGCCATAAAGCATAAAAGAAAAAGAAATTCAAAGAAATCGATAATGGAATTTGTACGTGCGTTTGACCTTTATATTAATTGTCGCCTTGACCGAGCTATTTTTAAAACTGTTGTTTATGTAAACTTGCAACCAATCAAAATCCTTCATGATGCTGATCAACCAATCAGATTTCCCGTCCACCTGGTGGACGGGAATCTCACACTTTAGATAGGTTTTGTGTCAGGCCCTATTCTGTGATTAGGGCCTGAACTTCAGGTTACCTCTTCGTAGTTGCTACACTTTGCTAAGGAAAAATGCAACTGACCAATCAGGTACGTTCATGCTGAAAACGTTCTGTGATTGGCTGAAACAACCCTGGTTAATTATTAAAATGTATTACTGCATATTTTGATATTTAATTGCAAAAAATGACTACTTTGAAACGAAGACTCTGCAGACCCTGCAGGAATTGTGTGTGACCTTCCCATGGTGCAGCAGGGCCTATGGAGGAGCCCTGCAAATTATTCAAATTTTGACTTTTATTAAAATACCTTTGCAACTCAGCTAGAGCGATACCTTCGTTTTTTAAACGATTACTCTTTGTAATTCTATCTTCAAGAACACCATGCTTAGATTTCTTAGTCAAAGATCTCCAATCTTCAATAAAAGGCTCGTTATCATCATTTTCTATGAATGTAGCAGGGCGTAAATTTGATACATTTTTACATCTTTTACGCTTCCAAGAAAAGCTTGTTTTGGTAGACATGTTGGAATCTGTCATACTTCTGCTCAGCGGACACAGTTGCAGTCCACGTGATACTTCAAATTATATCACAATAAAGTAAAATGCTGAAATATGTCAGATCACTCAGATGTAGAGGAATAATGGTTAACATATGGGTCAGGGAGGTTGTAGAACTAGATTTCTATTATCTAGCAATGTATAAAAGGGCTACGTTTTGAATGTGCGGATGTTTTAACTGTTAAGTTGGATTATCCAAGTAATATTCCACCAGATGTTTGAACTCGTGAATATTCGTAACCACTTCGGGAAATGATCGTGCGAACATCTGTTCGTTCTGGCGGGAACGCGCGGGAATTGTAAAGAGTAAATTTTGGGAAGCTCTGTATTATGAAACGAAAATTAAAAGCTGCAAAAAGTGTGAAAGGGTATGTTCGCTGCTTTTATTATGTGTTTATAATACTGTACATAACTCTCCATTAAACTTAATAAATTTATATGCAATGAAGTATATAAATTTCCTTTTGTAGTGTTTGGTATTTGCAATTCTATTGATATCCAATCCAATTCTATCAATTCATGATTCTTGACGTTTATACAAAACACATGGGCTGAATATAAACAAGTATTAATTTATGTATATTTATTATTGAAGTTTAGATCCAACATAAGTTTGTATTACTATACCCAGCTGATGACTTTGATGAAACAGGGTTAAAAAATAGAGGATTAATTTCCATTTATAAAACCTATCTAAAAAATAAAGACCAGTCCATGGACAATGCCTCTGTCCAAATGGACAATGACTCGGAAAATTCCTCTTGACCATTCAACTTTTTGCCTACATTTGTGTGCCTTGTGATAGCACATCAGTCGACAGTTGAATCACTGTCGACGGTTAACGTTCTGGTCATGTGACTGCACAGAAATTGCCTTACTCAAATTAAGCTAGACTGTAAAGTATTATTTTTGTGCGGGGGAACTTTTCCATCGTAACTGGCAGTTGCACAGAAATGAAGGCAGAACATTCTAGAATGATCACCATGGTTGGCATCAAGTGGAAAGATTTTGAAAATGTGAAGTCTTGAGATTGTCTGAAATGGCATTTTCAGAGTTTTCTCTTCCTTTTACTTCATCAAAAATATGCAGATTTTGTAACATTTACTTGAAAATTTGCAGACAGGAATTCAGCTAAAATTTCTGCTCCGGGAATGCATACAGTCTGGAAATTAAGTAACAAATATTTGGTATCTCTACAAATCTTGAATGATATAAATTTCTATTTCTTATAATTTTTAATGTGCATATTTTCTCAACAATCGGTTTTAGACAAACAGAAATATAGATCTATACTGATTCCGATTATCTACCGATAAGACAAAAATCAACACTGAGCAGGTTACACCCGCATTTTGGAATCATCACCCGCGTTAAAAAATGGCATTTACAGTACTGTAAATTCACCCACATTCATTGAAATTCACACGCATCATCAGATGATAATTCTCCTTAGGAGATTTGGAGGCTATGTTGAACTAGCCGTGCACTTAAAACATGATTTCAAAGCACAGAATATATTCTCTGTGGTAAACCATAGAGGATACATATTTCTTTTGTTTAATTTCGACTGAACGGTTACGACTTTCGAAACTCTGCGAAACTTTAATTTATTCCCTTTTACGAAACTTTCCAAAACTTTGCGAAACTTTTATTTAACCCTGTATTCTGTAACATCACTCTTTGTATTTATGTACGTATTTGAAACAAGAACAGAAACATTGTTCTCTTTTTGGGAAAGCTAGTTGTTATTGACATTCTGGTTGTTACAGTGTTTCAGTGCATTGGCATCACCTGCAATTTACTTAGGGTTTACATCTCTGTATATATAATGTAGCATTTCCCAATTGTTCTGCCTTCATTTCCACACAATTTCCATGGGTCATGGAGGTATTCCCACTCAAAAATAACACTTTACAGTCTGGGCAGAGGGGTTTGGAACGTCATTTAGCATTACCTGGTGTTTTTGCAGTGATGTTCCAGAAAAGATCCATACACTGTAGTCCCCCCAGGAAGGAATTTCTGCCATCCAGTGAGGCAGCCAGGGGAGAAAAAATTATTTCTAATAATAGTTAACACTTATTCATGAACCGAAGTGGGTGTTAATAGTGCAAGGAACAAAAATGACCAAAAAACAACAAAAATATTTTGTAAACATTTTGTACTTCAGCTTCCGTAACACTACAGGTATAGTTGTAAACGAAACAGTATTTACACGCTTTTAGTAATTTTATTCTTTAGAAATAGCTTTAGAATACCTCTAACACTGTTTATTATTAGCATGACAAAATTACTGGATGCTGATTGGTTGAGAGGAGTACAATTATTTCATTAATTGTACTGCAGGACAATTAATGATTTTCCAACAACAAACAAAATGGCGGAAAGGTATTTTAAACACAAGCATGAAATGAAATTGCCCTTGGGGAACTAGATGAATATACGAACAAAAGCACCAAATTTTGTTTTAACAAAAGAACTAAATGAAAATATGGACAAAAGTGCCAAATTCTGGTTGAAAATCTGGCAGGACTGGGCTTTGGCGAGAGAATATATGATGTTAACATTGAGAAGTATATATCCAATTTTGTCATGCTAATAATAATAGCGATGTTGCTCGTACAATTAGGGATTAATAGTACTCGCCATCGCATGATTACCTACACTAATTTAAACAAAGCTTTGTAACTTTCTTAGTTTGTGTTTGCAAAACCGCATCTTCATTCAGCACAACAACTTGCTCGTTTGTATAAACCGGAACAAAACAGAAAGCCATTTTGTTTTCATGCTGAGGCGAATAGTGCAAGGATATCCAAAGCTGACCAACCAATCAATTTGCTCGAAAACCATTATCCACCTCCCGAGTATATGCTAATAAGTGTTAAATACAGTAGGATTCAAAGGGGTAGGGTGCTTAACTTGCAATTGTCTTCAGGTGTGGAGGTACTGTACAGTACGGTATGCACATGTTTTCTGGAATGACCCATTCCGCCATTCGACTATTCAATAGAGAAGCTGCTAATCAGCTTTTGGTCTGTGCCAGTGTACAGTAGGTACTGTACAGTACAGATGTTAATAAGAAAAGTACCAATTCAAACTGAGGGTCTGAAAGTTGATTAATTGGAGCCCAAATGCTAAGGAAGGTTTTCCCTCTTCAGAACTCTACCCTCGGACATTCTGAATATAATATATACTGTATATCAATTTTTTTAGAACACCTCCAATTACAAAGTTTTTCAAGAGATATCCTGGTATGTATTCTCCCATAATATTTTACTAAGACCAGCATAAATGAAACAAATAATTCAATGTTTATAATCTCACAGCAGACCCAGTTAGCTCATCTTGCGGGCTGGCTTGTAGGTGGGTAGCCCTAAATGGGAGTTACCGTTGTTCGATGTAATTACTGTATCCTTTCTGGTGTCATACGACAAGGCTTTGTCTGCCATTTTTTGGATGGCTATAACTGTAGAAACCGAAGATGAATTTAACGAAGGAGTGATTCATTGAAGTAAATAAGTACTGAAAGATAATAGTACTGTGTTTTAATTCTCTAAATTCACTCCTTCGCTCCGCCAAAAATGGCGGACAAGGCCTTGTCGCATGGCGTGAGAAAGACTAATAGACTTTTTTGAGTTTTTCATGATGAGGGTAGTGAACTCTATAAATTAAACATGGAACGATTTCATTTAGTTTTTCAGTCTTTGTGGTTACTTGAGTGTGGGGCAGTTAAACAATGGGAAATGACAAGTCTGCTTTGCGCGCACTGTTTGCCTACGAATCTGGTCTTTCAGAGCCGGTGTCGCAGCGGATAGTGTCC